TTGCCACGCCTAATTGTGAACACACTCTAAATCTATAGATCTGATATAGCTTGTGAACATCAATAAAATCAATAAAACTAAATCTAAATCCACCACTTGTGAACACCCTAGTCAATAATTTCTTAAGCTTGTTTTAATAACTAACGATATTTATTTTCTTAATTATCCTTTTAATTAATAACATTAATTATCGTAAATTATGGTTTAAGATGGATCTCACAAATTTTAAAATTTTCAAATAATTATGCCGCAATGAATAAAAACCTATAAATATACAACAATTTTCTGCATTTTGCGTTTTAATACCAATAACTTGTTTCGTGTATGTTAAACACACACATATATAATATAATCTGTTTCGTCTAATTCTTTAAGAACTCCATAATTTTTTAGATCTGTAAAATTCATCTTAAGCCACCAATTTATGATAACTAATGCAAATTTAAGAAGAAAAAAAATAATACAAATTCCACAAAAACCACACATATATATATAGGGGCCTATTCAAGGGAGAACTGAGTTGTTTGTGGTAACTGTGAGAACCAATATTAACCACAAATCAATAGATAAATTAGGAAATTTATAAATTTGGTAATTTTAAATTAAAACTTTAATGCAAGGATATTTTTGGTATTTTAAAACTCTTCTCTCTCCTCTCTTCTCTCTCCGGCCACCGTTCTCCGGCCTCCGGCCACCGTCCTCCGGTGATACCACAATGGTATCACAATACCACCGTCCTCCGGTTATGAAATTGTTTCATATAATACTTAATGAAATTTTAATGAAACTGTTTCATATATTTCTCTAAAATTAAAATAATGAAGATGATAATATCCATGATTAACACCCTCCACAATAAAAATGGTTAATCAACCTCTTATAATTACAAAAAAATGAACAAAATGAAAAATTATGATTGGTTGAATGAGGTTTTCACGGTTTTTACAAATTGAGTGGTTTTTATTTGAACTCACCCCTATATATACCTTTATTTCACAATCATTATTACATGTTATTTGGTTATTCTCCATCTCCATCATATCTATTAATATTCTCCATGTATTCGATATCCAATAAAATTCTAAACTTGTCGAAGAATTTACTTTCTTTTTTCTATGCTTGTCACTTTAATATTTAAGTTTTTCTGGTTATATTATCCAAACGTTTTTCATGTAATTACTGATCTATATATGAATAAGGATCCCACGAAAAGTTTCCACTTGAAAAATGGAAAAACGATAATCACGTTTCTAACTGGATTTAATTGTCGAAAACACATTTTCTAATTTCCGTCCCCATATAAACTAGATGTTTGACATGATATGATTTAACAGAAATATTTTTAACAGCCGGTTATTTTCCGACAAAAACAAAAAAAGAACTAAGAAATATAAATAATGGACTAAAAAGTAATGGAGTTAAATTAAAGTTAGCAATATCAGGAAAAAAAAACATATTGGTCCAGGTGTATGAACAACACAGACAATATCTAATACGGTTAGTGTATGATGTTACAAACCAATCCTCACACCATCCTTAGATATCAACTCATCATATCTATCATTATATCTAAACCCCATCAACAACCTACCTCAGATATCAATTCATCATATCCATCTAATCGAGTTTAATATAATATTGTATTTAAAGGCTACTTTTGTAAGGTGGGTATTTGAGTTTAGGTGTGTGAACAAAATAAACAATATATGGTACGGTTAATCTGGGATATTACAAACCAATCCTCACACCATCCTTAGATGTCAATTCATCATATCTATGGTTGTATCTAAACCCCATCAACATCCTATCTCAGATTCAATTCATCATATCTATCGTTGTCTCTAAACCCCATCAGAGCCTACCTCAGATTTCAGTTCGTCATATCTATCTAGTCGGGTCAATATAATATTGTATTTAAAGACTAGTTTTGTGAGGTGGGGTGTTTGGTATGCCTAATTAGACATAACTCATAAGATGCTCTATTAGGAGAATCATGCCTAAAAAGGCTTCACCCTTGTCTTTATTTTTGACCCTTTTGGTTTTGTCCAATGGCTCCATGGTCCAACAAGGGGAAAGGGTCAAGTCTAACACCAACTTTGTTCAAGTGGAAAGTATGGTCAAAAGTGTGTGTGTGAGGTGTGTGTGTATGGGGGTTAAAGAAAAGTAATCAAAAGACCCTTTCATACCACCATTCATTTCTAAATATTAACCATTCCCTTTTAAAGAAATTGCTTGCTTTCCATCAAGATTTTTATTGGTGTAAAAAAAGCTACATATCAAACAAATGAAGCCATCTGGTTTCGAATGGGGTTTTTGGATTGATTCAGATCGAACTTTTTTTACATAAATTAAAGTTGAAATGATTCGATCACGCAGAATAAAGCGGCATAAAGTATTTAAGTGCATGTTAGTACTTGGCTACTGGCCAAGAGGTTTGCTTTTTGTTGGTCAGCTATACGAGTTTCATCGTGCTGTTGGAGGCTTTGTCGGACTGTTAACTTCATAAACTCATCGAATTACTTGAGTCATTATTTTCGCTTGAACTCTTAAATAGGTAATGGGAATTGCGTAAACTCACCCACTCCGAACAGTTAGTACATGATTAAAATGTAACATTTGTTTCCTTAAACGGGTTTGAATATTTATGGTTATTCGAATATCTAAATTTAATCGTATGTCATGTCTATTAGCTAGTTGGTGAGGTAATAGCTTACCAAGATGATGATCAGCCACACTGGGACTAAGACACGACTAGACTCCTATAGGAGGCAATAGTGGGGAATTTTTCACAATGGGTGAAAGCTTGACGGAGCAATGCCGTGTGGAGTTAGAAGGCCCACGGGTCGTGAACTTCTTTTTCTATATATATATATATATATATATATATATATATATATATATATGTTTATTCATCCAAACGAAACATTAAAATACAACAAAAGACAATCTTTTCTTAAACAAAGCAGTTTAAAAATAAGGGAATAAAATTTATAGTAAAATAGTTTGGTTTGTGGATTTGAACATCAAATGTTGGAACGATTCCCCAATTTTTGGGAATCACTAAAACCGATGGAGGGGATCGTGTTTCACATTTATTCCATAATTGATTCTTATTTTTCATATTTTATTATTATTATTAAAAGTAAAAAAAAAAAGCAAGTTAAGCAAACGTATTCAGTATATTTCACTTGAAATTATGATCTGAAAATGACTAACAATAATATTAATTATATTATTATTATTATTGTTACTATCACTATTTTAATGATAAAAATAAGAATTTATTATATATATATATATTTTTTTTTTCATCAAAAATTAGCAAACGAATTAACACTATTGAGAATCTCATTTCATCCTATCATTGGGCTCATCTATATTATATTATAAACCATTTAACAAAAAAAATTAAAAATCATTTTTATGCATTAAGTATTGTTTATTGATGCATATTACTTAAAATTCAAGATTACAAATAATGTTGCGTAAGTATAACTCATTAAAGCTCCATTAGATAGAGATAATAAAATCCATTTTAAATATTGAAAATCTAAAATATAATTAAGATAATCATTGAGTTCTAACGAAATGTTTATTTATTATCTTTGTAAAAAGTTATATTGTTAAACCAAAAATAAATTAATTTGTTATTAAATCTAAATTAAATTATAATAAAAAATTGAATTAAATAAATTACACCAAAAAACAAGAACTATTAAATAGTTAATTTGAGACTAATATCGTTTATTTTTTTCAAATTTATATTTCATTCAAAAATAAAAATATTATCGTTTTTTTTAAACCACATAAAATCGTATTATATCTATAGAGACAAAGCATAAAAACTTAAATTAAAATCAAAATTTATCTTGCTGTATTGCGCGAGTACCATTCTAGTACATATAACAAACCAAACCCCAGTTAAAAAAGAGAGAATGATACAGTGGTGGCAAAGAACGTATGATCACAATTACGTTCTTTCACTTTACATAAGGCTCGAGCTTATTGATTAAGAGAAATGATCATTAAGTGATGAAAAAATATAATAATTACAGAGTATGGACAACAAATTATCGTATTTGTAAATGGATATCTCTCTAAATTATGTATTTAAAACCAATATTAAACGTTTCGAGTATACAATGATAATAACAGTACCCTTTTGCAAAACAAGTTATGCATACGATATGACCAATATTTGACTTATGCAAACATTAATAGGATTTACTTCCATCAAACATCCTGTTTGGTTAGTTTTTCATTAAATCATGTATTAGTAAAATTGTATGTGTGAATTAGTCCGTCTGTATAGATTGAAAATGCTTTTATTTGAAAGGGTTTTTTAATGGATAGAAGAAGCGTGTTTTGTAATTGGGAGTGCAGTTTTGGAAAAAACTTGAGTTTATTTATAAAGTTCCCTTTTAAAAACTTAATGAATAAGTCAAATTCTATATTATTAAACCACTATCAAATATGGCTGATCGAACAAACTATAAGTTCATTAAACTGCTTACAAACAAGCATTTAGTATCATTTACTATGACAGTGGAGTTGGAATAAGAAATTCATAATTATAAAAGAATTGGGCTGAATAGAAATCTTAACCCAATGTAGCCCAGTCGGCCCATTAATATCTCTGCTGGGAAACGGTGGCAAATAGTCATTCAGCTAAAACTTGTTTAATAAAGCTTATCAGTTCAATTACCTGATCGAGTAAATATAATAAGAGTCGAAAATCTTATCCGATAAGAGCGAAGACACGGATTGAGAGTTTTACCCGGTAAGTGAGGATGATAACTCTTACCAAATAAATGCTTACCGGTTATAAACGCTTGCCATTAATCCTTTTTTATGGCCGGAATGTTATCTCTTAATGTAAATGAGAGTGGTGACTCTTGCGATAAGGCTTACCCGGTAAGCATTTGGTAAACGGGCCCTTTAATAGCCGTTTACCAGACACTTATTAAATAAGCGCTTACTGACAAGAATCACCACATCACTTGACAACCTCTTTACCCCTTAGGTAGAATAAAAACTGCATAGATCTTATCCTCACAACACCCCACTTCACATGGATTTTCACTGGGCTCGTTTGTTTTGATTTGGTTAATTTGTTCGGACTCGACTATCAATTACGCTAACACCAGGGACTTTCACGACCCTCTTCGACTTCATTACGTTCCTCACACCATCGACACTATCCCACTTCTTGAAATCGGCATAAACATTCGATAACTGCACATACGCACCATCGTTCTTGGCTTCCAATTCGACCATCTTTCTAGATGCAAGTTCTGCCATTTCAACATCGTTATAAATCTTGGAAGCGTTAAGCAACGCTCCCCAAGCTTCTACATGCGGTGCAAATGGCATCCGATTGAGGAAGTTTAACGCTTCATCTAAGCGACCGGACCGTGCGTATAAGTCAACCATACACCCATAGTGCTCAATCCGTGGCTCAAACCCATACTCATTTATCATCGACTCAAAATGCTTACGACCTTGTTCGACCAAGCCAGCCACGCTACAACCCTTTAAGACCGACGTAAATGTGACCTCATTGGGCATGATATTTTCTTGTCTCATAAGGTCAAAAAGCTCAAAACACTTCTCACCATAACCATTCATGGCTAGTCCTCCCATGGCACCACTCCATGAGTATACATTCTTTTCTTTCATCTCCCAAAATACTTCCATAGCCATTTTTATATCTCCACATTTTGCATACATATCAACAAGAGCACTGCCTAGAGTCACGTCGATTTGTAGTCCCTTACTCGCTATATATCTATGTGCCCATCGACCTGTATCGAGGGCACCTAGTTGAGTGCAGGCAGATAACACCGAAATCATTGACACCTCGTTAACCTTCAAGCCCTTCGTTTCCATCATACCAAACAATTCCAATCCCTTCAAAGGCTCACCGAATTGGACATACCCTGCTATCATCGCGTTCCAAGAAACGACATCCTTATCAGGCATTTCATCAAACAGTTGGCGTGCAAAGACAATGTCCCCCAGTCTTGCACAGGCAACCACCATTGCTGTCTGGATTACCAAATCCCTCTCATGAATATCTGAAAACAAATCTTTTAAAGCCCTAAGGAACCCCATTTGAGCGTACATATTAATTAACCCGCTTTGAACATGTGGGTCTTGATCCAACCCGTATTTTAACGCAGCCCCGTGTACGGCCAAACCCAAATTCTTAACCATGATAAGCTGCGCAGAAGACTTGATCAAGAACGTAAAAGTATAGTTATCGGGTTTTTCATTTGATTCGACAATTCTTTTATAAAAATCGAAGCTCTTTTCAGGAGTTGGACTTTTGGAGTAAACTCTTATCAAAGAGTTCAAAGCAAACACAGTTGGGTTTTCACATTGGTTCAATAATCGAACAGAATAATCGACATTGTGTGGGTGTTTGAGGGCGATTGAAGCAGCAAATTTGGATACAAGATTTATGTCATTGACGAAACCATTAACTAGCAATTGGGAGTGAATTTGGTTGATTTCTCCAAGGCTTTTGCATGTTTCTGCAATAGAAATTGTTGGGTGCGTCAAGAAATTTCTCAAGGCTTGCATATCTCAGTTTCTTGCTTTTTAATCATCACGTTCATGTTATCATTGGTTCTTTGAGCAGAATCCACGATGCAATAACATGTATACTTTATAGGTTTTTCTGATAAAGTAACGGTCTCTATGTATGAGGTGCAAGCATGCTTGATTTCCTGCAGAAAAGTTTAAAAAAGGCTACTAAGATTGAAGCATTCACATAAGAGAAACCAGAAACCGAAATAATGATGAGTGAATTGAAGTTATTGCCTTAAAGAGGCTGCTGCAAATGAGCATTGGTCAAACACAGAAACCCACAATGTGGTGGAAGCAACTTCTGCTCAAACCGGATCAGGCTCTTGGTTTGATCAAGGGCTCGGGCAAGGATATACGAGAAGTAATGGAGTTTTCAAGAAAGATGAAAGCATGAGTGGTTCCCCTCTTCATGACTTAGAGTTATTTTATCAGAAAATATATCATTTATGAATGGGGCTTTCTCCTCTTAATTCATGTCTAAATAAGATATCACTGAGGCATTTTATCAAACACCTGATTTGCATGTTATATTTAAGTCATATATGATCTTTTTCAAAATGAAGGATAACCTCCAATCCAATCAATTACACACACATATTATACATTTCACGTTTAATATATGGCAAAATAGAACAAATAAATTCAACCCAGTTCAAAGAACTTTAATCCCATCAATTATAAACACTAGTTGACTAGTAGTTGCCTATCAAGATTCTAATGTAGATAGTAATCACGAAGGAGCTTGTGCAAACACCACACACTCAAACTGAATACTGAACACACTAGTAAAAACGAAGTAACTCGTTGATGTGTCTGATAACTCAGAAATTGAAATAAAGAAAGAGAAGCAAGCTAAAATCAAAACATAGATGAGCCGTAAACTCGTAAACCATGTACCTGGTTTGATTTCCTCTGTGTGTTTGAGTGATGAAATCAAAGAAAATGAAGGTCAAGCGAAGATAGCCGATGAAGAGATAAGTTTCATTAGTCCGCCATTAAAGAAGCTGAAGGAAGAGAGGCAGTGCAGTGGACATATGAATCTAACCTCAGAGGCTTGTAGAATATAGATCGCCTGAAGCTGACGATGGATTTCCGATGAATAATAGCCCATCAACTGGGCCTGATCCTGGCCCGTCCCATTAATTGTTTTCGTATTATCCATCTTTGAAGTCAAGATAATACTTTAATATTATCTATACTATATTATAAAGTATTTGACAAAAATTCTTAAAAATTATTTTTTATACATGAAGTACTGTTTATTAATACATGTCACTTAAAATTTAAGATTACAAGTAAATTGTACGTAAGATAACTTATTAAAGCTCCATTTTTGAATTCGTATAACTAACTGCAGATAAACATAATCAAATACAGGATAAACATTTTATTTTAAATATAACAAATCTAAAATATAATTAGAATAATCATTGAGTTCTAACATGATCATTATCTTTATAAAAGTTATATTGTTAAGCCAAAAATAAATTAGTTCGTTATTAGACCTAAATTATAATAAAAACTTGAATAAAAGAAATTATACAAAAAAACGAGAATTTTTAAATGGTTAATTTGATATTAATATCAATATATGTATTTTTTTTCAAAATTTTCTGATATCTTCAAATATATTTTTATTCAAAAGTAACAACATTATTTTTCTCAAAACCACATAAATCTTGTTATATCAACAAAGATAAAAAAATAAAACGAAACATTAAAATGAAGATGTATTCCACTGTATTGCGCGAGTATCCTTCTAATCTTTATAAAACAAATTACATCTTAATTTTTGTATTTAAGATATTTTAACCATGATGAAACTTTAAATTAAACATTTATAAAAAAAGTGTTATAATTTACAATTTTAACACATATTTCAAAAGATGTTCATGGTGGTGATTTAGTTTTATTTCGATGAATATTGTCACTCCCCTGAAAAAGAATAGGGAGTGGCAATGACAAATCCAACACTAAATCCGCCCCTGGTGGTTATTTGCATCTCCTTCTCGACCCCTTGCAACAATGTTGGTGTCGATGTCCCCTAGTTTATTCCAAAGTTATATATATACATATATATATATATATATGTATATATATATATATACTATATTATAAAGCATTTGATAAAAACTCTTAAAAACCACTTTTTATGCATAAAGTACTGTTTATAACTGCATATTACTTAAAACTCAAGATT